AAATGAATATGTCAAATTTTATATAAACTGGATCATAGAGTCAGCTATCTACATGTTTGATATTTTTCATTTTGATAATTAAGGTTTTAATGAGAATCTTTTTTAAAGATTTTTCTTGGATGTCAAAGTGACTTTTTTTCTAAATTTAAAATTGTGAGTGAGTGTGTGTGTGTGTGTGTGTGTGTGTGTGTGTGTGTGTGTGTGTACATGACACAGCACATATCTGGCGGTCAGAAGACAGCTTTGTAGAATCAGTTCTCTCCTTTCACCTTTAAGTGGGCTCCAGGGGTCAAACTCAGGTCATCTGGCTTCATGGCAAGCATTTACCCACTGAGCCATCCAGTCACCTCTCTCATGTGACATTTGAACTTCTGGCTGGACTGCTTTGCTGGGGTGTTTTCTGAGTTACTGAGTTGAAAGGACACGGATTCTTTCCAGTGATTCTAATATAAAAGAAATGCCAAGTGAGAAAAATATAGTTTATGAAGATATCCTGGGCTGATTCAAGAACCCATATTCTTCTTGGATTGTTAAAAACAAAAATTACAGAGTATCATGAAATATTAGTGGCTGGAAACATTATGAACCTGTATTGTGTGTGTGTGTGTGTGTGTGTGTGTGTGTGTGTGTGTTTATGTGTGTGTGTGCATGCCTGCCTGTCTATTATTTAAGACTAATGAGTAAGGAAGCACAACTGTCAATACTGGGAGGCCCCTTAGGAAAACACCTGGCAAAGCAGTGTCCAGAACTCTAAACTCCTCACCTTTTGGCCATTTTTTTTTTAGGATAAATATTGTATATTATCAAGATGGGTTCTCTACTTCTATCTGCCTTAAGCTGGTCTTCTTAACATCATGATGAAGCCCCGACCATAGAAAAATGGCATGTTCCCCAAAGTCAAAGGCACTCAATCCACAGAAGGCTATAGCAAGATCTCCAACAAGAATATGGTTTGCATAAGATTTAATTCATTTCCTTCTCATCCCTCCCACTGTCAATTGGAAGACAAATGAGTTACATATGCAATTCACGTGCTTCACCATTCCAGGCCTTCTACTGGGAGGGGGCCTGTCTCCTCTCTTCAGGTCTTACCAATTTAATTAGATTGCTCCAATTTTGCCCAGTGAGATTTAAAGGGAAACCGGCTGGAGGAGGGTTGTGGATGCTTTCTCTGATCATAAAAAAGAATGATGCAGGAAGAAATGCCTTCTCTTCTGGATATTGTTGTGTCTGCATGCATTGCTTGAAACTACAGCAGCCATCATGACTGAGAAAGCAAGTATGAAAACCTGATAGGGATTTTGGTATAGAATGATGGGTCTTCGATTGTGTCTCTGAATTGGTAACTTAATTCGGAGGCCTTTCCGCACTTCTTGCTATGGGAGATTAACTTTGTTCATTGTTTAAATGAGTTCACTGTTTTTTCCAGTGTTGAAAGCTCCAATCACGCAATGGACTGCAAGGTCTGTTGCCATCACCAGGGGGCAATTTTCCCCATGTGTGAGGCTTTGCATTGCCTGTACTTTTAGAATAAATCAATCCAGATGAAAAGTTAACAAAAATAATAGCAATCACTATTTTTTTTCCTAAACATCTATAAACAGATGACTTTCTGATATCTTATATATGAATGAAAGCCTCTGATGTGGAATGACCGATCTGGACACATTTATTAAATCATAAAACTTAGCTTTGCTACCATCTCCCCAAGGAGGTCTTCCTGACTTCTGCCCACACTTTTGCTTTATTTGGATTAGCAGTCTCTCTTGAGTTCTCATAATAGCCACTTTGATTTTATTGCATGAATAATGTTTCTGTCTTCCCATCAAGCTATACATGCCATTGGCGTCTATTTTTTAATCTTCGTAGCTGCATGCTTAGCGCTCAAAATGCAAAACACAATGAACACATGGCTCAGTGGCTCATAGGAACTTCCATTTTCCATAAAGGCACTGAAGTGATGCACATTTATGTTATTTTTAACAGAATTTGTATCTGCAGGTATTTGTGTGCCTTTTGTATGTTCTTCCCTGTCTTCCTCATGGAGAACATCTCTCAGAACCCAATATACTTGAGATGAGCTCCTTTGCCTCCAGGGAGACCTAGCCAACTTGGAGCATCCTGCTTTGTTTGAGAGGCAAGTTGAAGAGCACGCAGGGAAAGAATTCATGTTTATTGTACTGAACAACTCCTTCAAATGCTACTGCCTGTAAGGTGTCTGTCGCTTAGAAAACAGAATGTGCACCTTCTGGAATGTATCTGCTGCCATGTCTAGCTCCATGACATCTGAAAAGTCACTTAAGGATTCTGTAGGTGGCTTGAAGTTCTACCCAGAGGCTTAGAAAGTCGTGATCTATAATACTTATGGGATGACTAAGCTGGAGCATCAGGAAGCTTGCTGATGACTAATAATTATTCTCATTCCACAGTGTATAGTTTGCAAAACAAAGCAAGCAAGGCCTCTGCCCTTTTGTTCTGTGACTCATTCCTCTAAACTCTTGGTGAGAAGGCCATGAGAGCACCAGTGATGCCCATGGGCAGGCACTCTTGCTGTTTTTCACTTCCCTTTCCTCGAGGCTGCAAGTCCATTTTTCCATGCTTGAGGAGAGGTTGTGTTGTGTGGTGGTTAAGAATCATACTTTGCATTTTAATTTGGACATCTTCATCCGGGTGCCACCATTTCCCAGATGTGTAGCCTTGGGCCAAGGGCTTTAACATCTCTGAGCCCTACTGGTTTTCATCCCTTAGGTAGAAACAATGACAAAAGTTAGAGGTTGTTATGGAAACGGGTGGCTATAAAGTACTTTGTACACAGTTGGTACAGAGAGATGAAGGCATGGTAATTATTATTAAGATTAGCTGCAGGTTTTCTCTAGGCTATTTCCAAAGAGTGAATTACATACACAGTTTGGAGACTTAAAAATAAAAAAAAAACTTTTTCTATTCTGTTGTTTATTCATTTCAAAACCAATTTCAAAAATTTCAACTTTGCAGCTTTTTAAAGGGAGCAGAGCAGGATGTAGCAACATACCAGCACAGCATGCTGGCTTTAACATGTGTTCTTTTCTTTCTCTGGAGTGCACTGAGACACCATGGTGTCTTCAACCTCCTAACTGTGCTTCCAGATCTTCATGGTAGAAGGCATAACTTTTTCTTTAATCTTTATGTTTGTGCACATTTGTGTGTGTGTGTGTGTGTGTGTGTGTAAGTCAGAGGACAAGGTTTGATTTCAGGCTTGGCCTTCCACCTTGTGGTGGAATAGGGGTTTTTATTGATGGCCATTGCAATCATCAGGCTGCCTATCTGAACTTGCTGTCTCACCATATGGACATTGAGATTACATGTGTGTGGTATTGCATAAAGCTTTATGTGTGTTTTAAGGATCTGAAATCAGGTCCTTGCACTTCTGTGATTCAACACTCTTCTCATTGAGACATCTTCTCAGCTTGAAATGTCACTTTTTAAACTATTCACCCCTTAAGGATAAATTCTAAACATTAAGTTTATAGATGAGCACTAGCCATCTGCCCATCTCCAGGGAGAAGAGACAGAGATCACCCACAACCAGTGATGATCAGTGGAGTTTCCTGCCACTCTGTCCATTGGAGGATTGTAAACTTCTCTTGACTTAGACAAATAAAATGATGTGGCATTTCTTGGGTGCTAATGTTAAATAGGTTCATAATAACTATGTTTATATAAGAAACATGCAAGGGAAGGCTTAATTGAAAGGGTTTAGTGCAAAGTGGCAGAGAGAGCCAGGGAGACTTTAGGCCACAAAATGGTGCAGTTACAGATTTTGAATCCTAGAGTGAGAGAATGAACAGAATTAGTTTTGCCTTCCCTTCCCATCTTGGGACGTTAAGGCAGGTCAATTAATCTTTCATGACCAGTTTCTTCATCCATGAGGCATGGTGATTTAGAGTATCTCTCCAGAAAGTTTTTAATTTTAAGAATCATGTGATAGGACCATATCTAGCTTACATAATTGATCAACAGGCATGCTGTTATTATTAGTGTCACCATGATTGTGTAGAAGAATTTGAAGAGGGCTTTGTGCAACCCTCATCACAGTTTTTAAAGGAGGTAAGCATGAAAGCTTGTCAATTCTACCCATACTATGCTTGTTAGCATTCAATACAAATATTTCTGGGCTGTGGTATGGCCAATTATATGCAAGATTAGAAAGAATCCTTTGAGAATTGGCATGAATTTTCATGTAGATGTTCTGAATACAATGAGGTTTGTGATGCTGAGAAAACTCCAAGGACAAAGTTTGGGAGACAGGCCATTTTGTGGGGAAGATTTAAGGTGTTTTCCTTAGGAGGTAGTGATGGAATTGGAAAGAGAGTCAGCATTTTGGAAAAATAGAAACATTGCAGATACATTCATAACACTCTTTGGAAATCTAAATACACTTTATTCTTTTACCAAAATAAATCATGTCACATAAATTGTTTTGTTCCCGTTTTTCCTTTGAAGATCTGAAAGCTTGGCTTAGAATAGGAGGAAAAATAAAAACAAACCTCTGAAGATTTGGAGGAGGATTTTCTTTACTGCTTATTGTGCTTTATTTTGAGAAAAAAAAAAGAGTCTGGTATAAAAACATCTCTAGCCACATGTAGATTCGGGAAGGGGTGGGGTGGGCCTTCATGTTAGAGTCCCCATAAGCTCATAAGAATATCTTCCTTATCTTCTTTACAGTTCAATTAAATATATTTTATTTCACTGAAATTTGATGTAGCCCAATTCAATTCATTCTCTATGCATGGAGTATGCATACCAGCCCAAATAGTCTAATCTTGGTCATAATGGGGACATGAATCAACTCCAGTCTTTGCTGATTTCATGGCTCCATTGGGTAGTTGTGAGGCTCTACATGTTACTGTGAGCATTCAGAAGAGCTGGCAATCCAAGCAGATGCAGGTGTGAAGAGCCCCAAGAGTATATTCTGCCTCTTCTCCTACTCCATTCTTTAATTTTTCTCTCCAATGTTGTTTTCAAAGTGATTGCATGGAAAGTGATGAAAATTGAGTGATGTGGAAAATGTTAAAATCGCCCTGTGACAGGAACAGCTCAACAGTCTACATATTCAGCACTCCTACATTTTGTGTACCTATATACAAGGTAAGGCAGAAACCATGACTATCATCTCAGATTTGACTCCAGTACTTACGCTGAATAATAAGTATTCAGATGTTTTCATTTTCTAAAAGTATATGCTAAACTATCAGCTAAATGCACAGAAAACAATAACCAGCTTATCCTTTCATTTTTCACTTATTGCCCACCACCTCTACACAAATAATGCTAAGAATTATTCAGAATTTGGGTACTTAGAAAAGTATTTTGAAGAAAATTATTGGAACGAAATGCTCCTTCCTTGTGAAAGCAATTTGTATCAGTGAGCTTTTACAATTAGTGCTGTGTAACAAATAATTCCATGATCTCATTAGGTGATGACAATGGACATTTATTTTCATAGATATTCAGGTTGACTACAGTTAAAAAGCTCTAAATTGGGATTGATTGGTGCCTTTCAGGCTTTGTTTTGATCAGAATCGTTTCTAATTACAGATTGAGTCCAAGCTTATCCCATGAAATTTGTCATTCTGGAACCAGTGACAACCCAAAATATGGTTTTATAGTGATGATACTGGCACAAAAATTAGGCTGAACATTGTATGTCTCTTAAGATCTTGATCGATGGGTACAATGTTGCTTCTCAGAATTAATTGGCTGAAACAAATCACATGTCCAAGCCCACTAGCACCTGAAGTGAGGAAATAAGTAAGCTCTACCTTTCCAAAGAATTTATTTTTCAAATAGCAATTTTACAAAGAAAATTACCACTAAAACTTCACATTTGTCTTGGTATTTGGATAACATAAATACCTGATACAGAATTCAAAAAATTTATAGAGGAATATGTTAGGAAGAAACCATAGCTACAAAATTTGTCTCTGCAACCTATCTGTGTCCCTGGTTGGCTAAATTGGGTCTAGTGGAAGGGAACAAGCCATGGAACACCTCATCACTCCTCAACATTTTCAGAGAAGAAAACTGACTAGAAAGATGAGGGTGAATGTAAAGAAAGGTGCAAGCAGAAGAAAATATTAAAACATTGTAAGGAGCACTAAAACACCAGAAATTGAATCGTTTCCCCCAATGTATCCACTCAGGTAGAATTAAGAAACAGAAGCACCATACTGTAGGGTGATGTAGAAAAAGGGCTAGATTTTTGGATCACTTCTAGTGAAGAAACGTTCATGCAAAGCTAGTGTGATCCCGAGATCACTATAGTTAATGTGGGGAAGTGAGAGGAACAAGAAAAGGGAAGAACAAGGACAAACTGGAACCCCCAACTTTTGGAGGGAAGATGTGTTAGATCCCCAGAACTTTGTCAGTCTGCTAGCATCTCTGACACCTCCTACCTTAATGATGTGATGGCTTGCAGGGGAAACTGGTACCCTTCATCACAGAGCTGCATCTTCATCTGACCTAGGATGAAGACAGGAATAAAGAAAAAAATGTAAAGAGAGGGTCTGAGCAGCTGAATGCCCGGTCGCTGCTCCACACCAACAATGAAGCAAGCTGGAAGATCAGCAGCTATGTGCAGGGACTGCGACACAGTTTGACACCTACACCAAACCTGTAGGCTCAGGCCGTGGCCTGTTTCATTTGGTCTTTTCTACTCAAACACGCTCTTTTTATATTCTCTCTAGCCTGCAGTCTGACAGAGAGGAGACTCTGGAAGGTAAGTTCCTGATTATCTAAACTGATGCACTCCGAAGCCATTATATATGCTATATTTGTTTAGAGTTTCACTGACAAGCAAGGGACAGGAAGCAAGTCACAGTGAAAAGAAAACTCTGTTATCAAGGCAGAAGGGGCTTCAGATGGCCAAGAGACTGGATGAGGCTACTCTAGACTTTGCTATCCACAATGAAAGTATGTAGAGAATTGACTTCCTGAAGATGCTGACGAGAGAGGCTCATGAGAGTAGGGAGGAACAGAAACAAAAAAGTTGCAAAAAAGATGTTTTTGGTCCTATTTTTATTTTGTTCATATTACATACTTGCATGTGTATAATTATATACCCCTCTCTGTGTTTAGGTTTATTGAAGCATATCAGGTTGCCGGGGGTTACAAACATCAAAGCATTTTCTCCCCACCCACTGTTCTCAATAATGCTGCATTAAATTTCTTTTGCCTGTGGTGCAGCATGCTCCATATTTTCATATTGCTTTTTGCTTAAAACAACTTCTTCCAGTTCAAGAGATGGAATTCACCTTTTTCTCTCTCTCCATTGCTATCAGGGCTTGGGGGCTGTGAGGGGAAGGAACTTGCAAGCTTCTGCCCTTCTTCCCTCCACCTTTTTCTTCTCCCTGTTCCTATGAATGTCAGATGCTGCAGCATGTTGGGAGGGGAAGGAAGGAGGGTGGGCAGGCCCAGGAATCACTTATTAAAGTAGCCATCACTGCAGTGTGCTCTGTTGGCTGTCACTGCTTCTATGGGTTCCACTGATGGGACCTCAAGTATCTTTCTGCAGCCTATGTTCATCTCTGGGGCTCCCTTACTGTAGTGTTGTCTTAGTTTTCTCTCCTGTTGTTATAACACACTCCCTGAAAAGCAATTAAATGGAGAAAGGGCTTATTCTGGCTCAAAGTTCAATGGCACATTCCATCATGGTGGGAATTCAGAGCAGCAGGAGCTTGAAGAGGCCGGTCTCATTGCATCTACAATCAAGAGGCAGAACATGATGCTTGCTGATGCTTAGCACCCTTTCTCCACTACAGAGTTCAAGAGCTCATCCGTGGAATAGTGCCTCCCAAGGACAGCAGACCTTCCTACCTCAATTAATGCAATCAAGATGACCTCTGACAGGTGTGTCCAGAGGCCCATCTGTAGCTAGAGTTTTCCACCTTGCCCACAGTCAGGACAAATCTTTGTC